TATGTATATAGTTAGCCCTTTTTAACATGCCACTACTGGGCACGGGCCTCTCTCTAATATGAGGGGGATCGGGCCATAGCCTACCACGTCTTAGTATGGTTGGCTCTTCACATGCCTTTTAAAAACTTGCTAGGTTCGCGCAGACATACAGGTTTCCTCCCGATGTTTTCCTTCACCATAAGACAAGTGGTGATCATGTTGGAAATTATTCCCACATGAAAATATCAGAGGTGTGAGACCCGAGATTTGCACCCGCTTTCCTCGGTTTCCCAGGAAAGTGCGGTTAGAACGTCCATAGTAATAAAAATGTGAAAGCTCTGTGTATAGGTATGTTTGTTACATTTTTACGCTAAACAGTTCTACCGCTATGCAGATTTTGATATTTAACCCGCTTCGTTGACCATGCAAGCAGAGCCGCAGGCAAAGACTTATATTATATAAATCCATACTTTCACGTTTTACAAATAGACTAGCAGTGAAAAAAATGGGTGCGTGTAATCTCTACGCGCGGTTGAAGTAAAACTTCTTTAGCAAATATCGCAATTAAATTAAAATTAATCAATAATTAAATAAGCAATATTAGGCATACTACAGTCATATATTTATAGAATATCATTATTATACGGAAAGAATATATTACATATTTGTCAGACAATAACAACAGTAACCATGGCACCATGGCAATGTATTCTATCTCATTCTCTCGCCGGCTTAATCCTATTTATTTATGTGCTTGTCTCTTTTTGTGTCGCATTTTCTTTTCATCGAGTTTCAAATCAAAACGATTCTAAAAAAGTTTTTCAATAATATATAATATAATTAAGGCTTAATCGACACAAGGACAGGTCATATAATTAAATTTAAAAGCTACATGGAAACGATTTTAAAAATCTGTTCTGTAGACGGCTTTCACAAAATGGGGGCATGTAAATAAAATAGAAGCTTTCGTTAGCATTCTTTAAGAAAATTTGATTTTAGGCCGAAAGTTTTCAATATAAGTAATATAATTAAGTTTTTTATTTTTGGCTTAAAATATTTTTTTCTACAAAGCTAAAGAGAAAACGAATACAATTACTTTCCACTGTCCTCTTTTTAGTTATTGGATAATCTATACATATAATAAAATTCTAACTGAGTCGAATCTGTATTAGGAAATCTTATTGAAGTAGCCATTATCTGAATATTTTTTTTTTGATTTTTGTCTGTCTGTCTGTCTGTCCGTCCGTCCGTCCGTCCGTTCGTCCGTCTGTCTGTCTGTCTGGGAACGCATCACAAGAAAACCACTAGACAGAATTTCATGAAATGGTTATGCGGGTCAACATACATATACTACTTTTTAATGCGGGAAAATATCTCGTCTCTGAGAAATGTATACTAACCTTAAAACGTAACTAGGGGCGAATCCGAGCGAAGCGAGGGTGAGTCGCTAGTATAATATATTGTGTATTAGTAGCGATACTCAATGCTGCCCTACAAATATACACCTGACACTCTATTTGAAGCCGGAGAACCGTTTTCAATATCGAATTATCAAATATGATATTATTTGTCTTACAATTCATTTTATAACATAATTTTTATTAAGTCTTACATAATAAAAATGATCATATAACACATCAATACTTTTATATGAAACTTTTTGCCTTACGTATATATGCAGGAAGCGGTGCCGTTTTCAAATTTTATAACAACAGTAATCCAAGTCATGACCTAGGACTATCCTCCTCTATCCTACTCAAATTTCATTCAAATTGGTTCAGCATAATGGAGCAACAAACATATATACAAGCTTTAACGCTTACAAAGTAATTGAGATTGTAATAATGAGATTAACAAAATAATAAGAATATAATTACTTTCTTACATGAACGCGAATATTTTACATTTAAAATAAAACTATATTTTTGGAATTTTTCGCGGATTTATTTTGTTTTTTAGTTCCCGACATCTCAAATGCATTACAACAATCATGGTCACTGGAAGGAAAATAAATTCGCGAAAAAAATAGAAAATATATATTTTTTTATAATATAACTCAATACAATATTTGATTTAGTAGTAGTAGTGGTAATAGTGGTCGAAACGACCAATCTGTATAAAAAAAACTGTTTCCAAAATTTTTTTTTATAGATAACACTAAATATAGCTCTCAATAGCTACAAATTATAAAATAGTGCGTGTGTGTCATTCACACATGATGGAAGTGAAACTTCAGAAAAGTAAACTACGAGAGAAAGAGATGAATATAAGCTATCAGGAGTAGGATTATAAGGTTTATTTCTTTATAATATTTTTACCAAGTTCAAAAGTTATTTTACATTTTGTTTGACATAAATATACATTACATACTATTCAATAATTAATTTTATTACCTTTCACTTCCGGTGTAATTTATTCTATCTTAAATAATTAAATAAGGCAATTATATTTATAGAATATTGTATGCGGAAGAAATATAATATTATATATGTCAGACAATAACAACGGTTACCGTGGCAACATGGCAATGTATTCTCTCTCATTCTCTCGTCGGCTTAATTCCATATATTTGTCTCTTTTTAGTGTAGCATTTCCGTTTCATTGTCGTTTCATCTACTTTCAAATCATAACAATTGTAAAAAAGTTTCACTTCAAAAATAAAAGAAAACCTGTTGACAAACAGAAAAGGTACTGAACTATTTTGTCTTTGCTTATTTATATAAATATACTACTACTAATTAAGTCTAAGTGTAAAGTGTTTTTTTTTTATTTAGGTATATTTCATGTATTACTAACTTCGATCAACAATAATACTAGATCGGGTCGGCGTAAGAAATCCGTCTCGGCAAATATCAGCTCACTTGCAAAGTGAGCGTATATTTCGATTAGTTCTATTGAAACACTGCAAGCGCAAACACGTTCACAATGGCGCAATAGGTATTTATAAGTTGCAAAAATAATGCACTAAGAAATTTTTTTTTCAGATGGGGTGTCTCATTTTCGGAAAGTACATGTAGATTAAGTCAATATTTTAAGATTTAACCTACTAAATAATATAAAAATGGAATTTTGAACAATTTTAAATCCGCTAAGAACATTGGCCAAGGTCGGCCAATACAGGCGCAAATTCTAAGAAGCAAACAGAAACAAAACAACGATTTAGCTCGCAAAGAAACAACGGGAAAAAGTGTTTTAAGTTTTTTGATGTAAGGTTGATTTTACAATAAAAATTATAAAACTTACGAAATGATCGTAAGTGTATGATGATAATTTGAAGATTTGTGACTTTAATACAAGGTGCTATGGTGCTGATTAGGTTGAAAATAAAACTATTATAAGACTTTGTGTTGGTTCGTTAGTATACAAATATAGCTGTATAAGTACATATTGGCGCGGACAGAATATAGCTTTGATTTTGTATGTGACACGTTATCTAGTAGTATTGATCGAAGATTACTAACATCGACAAATAATCTAATAATAAGATCTGTAATTAATTTTTTATCATTTTGTGATAAAAGATATAAATAAAGATACTATTTTAGTAATTATGAATTCCTTAAAAGTAATACTTATCACATTTTATCAGCTGACGGTCATGATTATGCAATGCGCAACTCAATTAGGTACAGTCGTAATTTGTAATCAAAACGGGTTGGAAAGTATGTACCAATATCAAATTCTACGGTCAACGTTTGATCAAACGGTGCTATTTGCTTAGGACGTCAAACGCACCGAAACATTTGTTTTGGTCACAAATATTTATATACTCTGAATATTTTAGAATTAAGTCCGTTTAAAAGAAGATCTCCAAATAATTAAATTTCCTTTGTATTTATTTATAAAATTACTAGCATTGCCCGCGGCTCCGTCCGCGTTCAGATGACCAAAAACCAAATTCTTAGGTTTTACATATTAGTATACTCTTACAATGTAGTTTTTGTATTTTTTCTCAGAAATGAGATATTTTCCCGCGATAAAAAGTATTTTATATGTTGACCCGGATAACCAGCTATCATCATACCAAATTTCATCAAAATCTGTCCAGTGGTTTTTCTGTGATGCGGTAACAGACAGACAGACAGACAAAAATTCTAAAAACTATATATTCGGCCTCTGTATCGACAATAATGTTTATTTCAATAAGATTTTCCAAAAAATATTTAATGTATAGATTTGGCTTAGTTACAATTTTATTATAAGTATAGATATTATGTATATTTCTATTACAAAATTATTATTTTTAGAATGAACTTTTGATAATCAATGAAACAAATTGCACGACATTGTTTTATCAATCCGACAAAAGTGACGCACCAACAAACACTTACAATGTTATTCTTTATTAGTATTAATTAATATTAACAAAGATTATGATTACAAATTACTTAAGATGCGCATGATAAGATATGTATATTCGATCGATATTAAAAAACAGAAGTTACTCATTTCGGCTGTATTTTTTTTTGTGATACGTGATATTTTACTCAAATATGAATAACGCCGATAAACTATGTTTTTAGGATTCCTTTGCTAAAAAGCTAGAACGGAATACTTAGAATTTCGTCATGTCCTTATGTCCGTCTGTACGACTATTCATATTTTACTGGTATCACAGTAATTTTACTAGAACATGGGTTCACTGGCACTGATAATACTATTTTTTCGGATTATTTCACGGATTTATTTTGATTTTTGGTTCCCGACGTTTAGAATGCTTTACAGCAGTCATGGTCATGGAAGAGACTAAGGTTATAGACGTCTCAAACACATACTTGTTACAGACAGTGCGTACCCACTATTTTACAAAAATGATTTCAAAAATTCAAAAAATGGCAATAAAGTACCTTACAATATTTGTTGATTTTTATTTCTAAACATTTAAAAAAATGTAATAAGTATTATAATTAAATATAGCAATATTATTTATTTTATTTTAGCTTTTATGATGATAAAAACAAGATATAAGTGTCAACAGTAAGTTTATTTTACAGAATTATTCCAGAATGAAGATGATCTTAATGAAGGTTCTGTTGAAGCCAGTCCTTGTAAGTGCTAACTCTTACAAACATATCGGGAGCGTTTTGAGCACAAGGGATACTCCAAGATACGATACCAATTTGTTGACCATTGTCTTTACGTATCAAAGCGCTGCCAGAGTCACCCTGAGGATATAATATTAGAAATTAACCCATATATCTGAATTTTACAATTTGGAATAGACATTTTTATCAGTCTAAAAAATATTAAATTAGCTGCAAACAGTTCAAAATGTTACGTAACGTATTTTAACTAAAATACATATAAATTTCGAATAAAAAGAATGAACTTTTTTTTAATTTTTTTTTTTAATTATTGATTAGCTTTATTTACTATAATTACCGTACAATGTGTATTTGATTATCATTTAACAGCTCCAGGTAAATTTCTAAGAAGTTAATTAAATTTCTAAGAAATCTATTGTTAACTGTAACGCCGGAGTGTCCGCGGTCGTGGAGGGAATATTATGATGTGTCACTAATATACTCACGCCGCATACTCCGTGGTGATTAGAGTGGAAAGTACAGATCTCGAGATATGGGTCTACAAGGGGTGCGTTCCGTAATTCCAGTTCGGCGGCTCTGCGAGCTACGTCGTTTTTGCAACTTTCTCCATCAACGACTTGAGCATGAAGAGTCAATAGGACTAGAGAGACCATTCCTCCGGCCTATAAATAAAATACGAATAAATTTAAATACAACAAAATATAAATATTTTTTATCTACAAAATACTTTGAAATTTTTATATCAAGTTTGATAGCTGCGTAATTGTTGTTACTCTGTTTCGCTGTAATAGCTGGATTAATTAATATGAAAAAAAAAAACAGCCAGACACCAAAGAGTTAGGCATTAAATATCTCTAATATATTTTAACAGGATTGAAATATTTAATATTGACTTGTCATGACATTATTCATTGTGTGCATGTGCATAATAAGCACAATTAACATTCATTTAAAAAATAAAATAATTCAGAAACAAGTAGTGTAAATAATGAAAATAAAATATTATATTACATAATAATCTTAAGTCAAACTTACTTTAGTCGCTCCCCATCCGCTAGTGGAGGTGGCGACTCCAGGGTCGACCCAGTCATAGCTCAAACTGACCAATCCGATCGAATTGCTAAGACTAATGTTGAAGCTTGAGACTAAGATTCCAATGTCATTTTTAATGGTACGTGAGTTAAAATCAGGATGGAGAATGGCTCGGGCGAACACAATTTCAGTTCCTCCGTAGCTAAAATGGTTGGTTCCTACGATACCTCGCAGAGTTCTGTTTAAGGATAAAAAATCAAAATACATTAGTAGGCACACTGCATAACTTAAGTTATACTTCGTATCTCTCCCGAAGATGATTATGTTTACATGCAGCAGCACGCCAGATTGATCCTGTCCTAATCACACTTTTAAAGCTATATTTTTTTAAGCTCTTACTCTTAAAAGAAATAGTTTAAATGATTACTTTTTTTTAAATAACCTCTTTAGCGCATCTCACTACGTCATCTTGATTCAACTGTCATTAGGCGTTTTTGTGTTGTCCGAGTCACAACATTTTACAAAATTTGTAAAATCAACATGGGAGAAAGAAAGCGATTGGATAAGAACAATACTGATATGGGGAGGAAAGATCTAAATAAAGTAAAAAAGAAACTAAATAGTTTAATTATTATATACTAAGAAAAGAATAATTATTTTGGTCATTATTGTCTGAGGATTCTGTAAACGAAATTATAACATCAGAATCAACTGCATATTCGCATTATACTGACATGGAATTTCAAAATAATATTATATTCTAAATTGGCGCAGTTTAGTATATAGGATGCAGCCCCTGGAGGAGTGGGTTGTATTTTTGGATAGGGGAGACGATGGGGAGTCCAAATATATGAATTTTCTTTTAAGAAAACGTAACAGTCAAAAGTTATTAAGATTTAAAGTTACAACATTTCCATACATTATTATGACATTACTGCCATTTTGAAACTTGGAAATGTCAAAATGTCACTTCCAAGTACCAAAACGACCTTCAAATAATGAGTCAGGTCTATCAACAAATTTTAAATTAACATAAAGCACTAATGATAGCAGGGGTTCTGGGTTTGAAATAAAAAAAACCTAACGAGAAGGCTAAGGCGGAAGCTACGCTACGCTTCGCTCCCGCCTTAGCCTTCTCAACCTTTTTTTTTAACGTTCGGAAATGCATTTATGCACGAGGTGTGGGACTCACTAAAACCCAACAAAACCTTCCCCCGTCTTAATGGGGCGTCGCAGGATCGCTTATGCATTCAACCACGACGCCCCAACGGCAGGTCTGCCGAAGTAGACCACAAAAACCACGGGGCTACTCAAAGGTCCACTCTGCTATCAGAGAAGTACCAGGAGCAACCCGCATGGTACACCTCTCACCGCCCACCGAAGTGGGCCACCTCCCTGTGCGTTTCTTGGCTTTGTGCCCGGCTATATTGCCGGGAACTACTGAGCCCCCCCACCACGATAAGGTGAACGCACGTTGGGAGGGATAGCCTCCTCAACCTACGTTATCCAAGTCGGACTGCCACTTAGTCGAAAATGAATAATACACATAGATTAATAAAACGGTCTACTTACGGTTATAAACTGCATGAGTACACTTAAAACACAAAGAACATTTAAAATTATAGTTATACTATTAAAACAAAATACTTGAAACAAACGTATATGAAAATTAACAAAAACTAATAACTACTGGATAACAATATGAGAAATATAACTATGAAAAAGAGCAAATAATAAGAAAACTTAAGCGTGTTTAATGAGTACAGATCGTATTCACATACACTACGGAACTTCGCATTATTTTATGATTACCCTCCAAAAATACTGAAAAGTATTCACAGATAATAAAATCAAGTAATGGTTTGAACATTTTTTCTAAATGTAAATTAATTATATAACTCAATACTTTACATAAATCAAACAAATATGTATTAGTAAATGTGTGTATGAATTGAAAATAACATACTCGTATATCTATTTAAGAATCTTAGTAATCTGACGACAATTTTCACTTTTAATAGTAGGGGAGCCCAAGAGGGGATTTTCTGTAGTTACTCGAGCGCGGCAGATTAACATAAAAGAGGTTACCTTGCACTCTATTGAGTACTTTCACCACAATATAAGTCTTCTATATAAAGGGGCGCGCCTAGGGAAGCCGATTAAAATATTTAAAAAATGTTTTGATAAGGCAGAAATACTTGAAACCGTCAGATTAAGGTGTGGTAGGCTAGTCACATCCTGAAAAGTGTCCAATTTAATAATCTGCCGATTTGCACAAGCCTAAGAGGCAAAAATCATCATAAACTTTATAGACGTATATCGTGTGTGCAAATTGTATCTCGGCATTTTGTGTGGACTAAAAATTATTTTCATTAATTATATAATTATATTAAATGGTAAATAATACACCTTTATTACTATGAATATGAATATGCCGACATATATCGTTTTTGCAAATTGGATCCCGATGTGTGTGGATACTATGAAGGCAATTGTCCAGACGTTATGTGTGTGGATTAAAAATTGTCTTCATTCGGTCAAGATACTCGTATAATTAGAAATCAAACATCACAAGGTAAGTTCGTTTGATTCTCAATCATCAATTAGAATGCGAGACGTTTTATAAGCACGCCAAGGATGCAAACTACTTGTGTTTTGTATTCGCGCTAAAAAGTGTGTATTTTAGCCTTTAATTATGCAGGTCAATCAACTAACACATGTATCATTTTCATTACTTACGAACTTAAGCCACCAGGATACTGCACAGGTTCGATGCAATGAGCAGCTGTCAGGACGTGTCTGGTTGAGACAAGGGATCCACCGCAAAATAGAGTCCTGCCTATAAGGCTAGTAACTAGACCCACCATGTGGGGGACAATGTCCGCGGTCGTGCCACCGACGATACGAGCTGACGCATCGGTATGGTCGAAGTAAATGGACAAATCATCCTCGACTGGGAAAGCTAGAACAAGTGGATGGAAATTTATTTTATATTATAACTAGCGGCTCCTCTTCGCTTCGCTAGGATTCGCCTCTAGAAAAACAAAAACAAATCTACCGTAACCTACTAACCGTACCAACTAACCATATATTTTTCTGGGACAAAAAGTAACCTATGTATTATTCCAGATTATAGTATATCTTTGTGCCAAATTTCGTCTAGATCCGTTTAGTCTTTCTGGCTTGAAAGAGTAACAAACATCCATACATACTCACAAACTTTCACATTTATAAGCTTTATACACATATATTAATATTATTATTATATTATAATGAAATTGTAAACGTTGTTGGATATACTTTCAATATTCTTTTGTAATATGCTTTGTATCTCAAACTGATTGATATAGTTTACTTGCCTCATGCTAAAACTACAAAAAACACTTTGGATTTAAGCTATTAGTAATATTTGAATCCTGTGATGATTTTCAAAGGTGTATGATTGTGAATGAGTATGATTTTGACTAGTGCCGAATATTGTGCCGTTTTGACACATACACACAAATAAAAAAAATATGTTTTCGCAATACATATTTTATTCATTGCAAAAATAAGTTCGCGTTTCATATTATTTTTTTAAAGATATTATGGAAAATAAAAAAATTTGTGATAATAACTCAAAATATCCAGAATCTGAAAAAATATTTTACGTATATTCTGTAAATTAATTTTCATTTCAAGTATTTAGCGAGGTCCACAACCTCAATTTTTTGCACATTTTCTACTTCATCTTTTCAATGTTAGAGGAAGAGAGAACAATGATACAACTCGTAAATAATGTTTTTAACTTAAGAATCATGTAACTCGCCTAATATGGGCTTTCAAGTAACATACAAACAGTCCAATATCCAATAACACCATAATCCAATGTTATGTACACCTGAAACTTACATATACTATGAATATATCTCGATCAAAATGTAAAAGAAATAATATCTAAGGAGTTATTTCGGAGTAATATAAATTAAATAGTAAGGTTTTAAATATTTCTCTAAATATTTAAGATAATTGGAAGATATTTTGATTATTTAATAAATTAATAATTTTACTCACCATAGCTCCCGATGAAGAGCATTAAAATCAATATCCCAGCTTTGAACAACATTTTGGAGACGTACTGTAATTTTGATATGCTGTTTATTCGCTTTTATATGTAACAAGAAGTAAAAGATAGTAATTTTAATGACCTATCATAATTATATTTATCAATCAATACGATCAAAATTAATAAATGCTTGTATCATAACGTTATTTAATTTTTGAAGGTTCTGTACCCAATTTGTTAGATCTGGACTCGCGACTCACCCTCGCTTCGCTGGATTTCGTTCTTAGGTACGTTTTAGCAGTTACTATGGAATAGATGTACAAATATTATATATATTGATAACATAAACTGAGACTCATTGTTATAATTCGTGGTGATTTCCATATAAAATAACTTTTTGATTTTCTCGCTGTTCTTATTGGTTTTAGCGAGACTAACCAACGGGAATGGAATTACAATATATATATATATATATATATATATATATATATATATATATATACATAGTTTTTAATGATTATCCCATCGTCCAATCACGACGTGTTAGGATATAACGCTAAGAGAATCTCAGCGAACAAACTGTAGTCTTGTAGCTTTCATACTGTCATGCAAGAATTTCGTAGCCATAATCTACGATGTTGCAAATGCTTGAATTACTTATGCCATATTTTTGATGTTATATTTCAAATATTCACTATTAATTATGTAGGTGTGTTAGGTTATAATAAAAACAAGGCATAAGTGTCAACAGTAAATTTATTTTACACAATCATTCCAGAACGAGGAAATCTTAACGAAGGTTCTGTTGAAGCCAGGCCTTGTAAGCGCTAACTCTTGCAAACATGTCGGGAGCGTTGCGAGCACAAGAGATACCCCAAGATACGATACCAATTTGTTGACCATTGTCTTCACGTATCAAAGCGCTGCCAGAGTCGCCCTGAGGATATAATATTAGAAATTAACTCATATATCTGAATATTCCAATATGGAGTCGTATCTTTTATTAGTATAAAATCTTTTATTAAACTAGCTGCGCACATATCAAAACGTTACTTAAAATACATATAAATTACGAATAATATGAATGTACTAATTTTTTTTTTATATAATTCATTAGCTCTATATAGAATAAAGAAAATTACATATATAGTATATACATAATTATATATATAAAATGTACACTTAATTATTACTGTACAATGTCTATTTAATTATAATTTATTTTTTACACGAACCTAATATTGATTAATTTTTATATATTCGAGAATTATGTACATAATATTATGATGTATCACTAATATATACTCACATTGCACATTCCGTGGTTATTGGAGTGGAAAGTACAGACTTCGAGATTCGGGTCTACAGGGGGTATGTTTCTTACGTTTAATTCGGCGGCTCTGCGAGCTACGTCATCTTTGCATTTTTCTCCATCAACGACTTGAGCATTAAGAGTCAATAGGACATGAGAGATAGAACCTCCGGCCTGTAAATAAAATAAAAATGGACTTAAATACAACTAACAGAATATAATTATTTTTATTTACGAACTATCTAGAATTTTTCATATCAATTTTTAAGGTTGCATATTATGTTGTTATTTTCCCACACTGTAATAGCTCGATTAATTTAGATGAAAACACAGATAGGTTTCAAAGAGTTAGGCAACAAGTGTCTCTAATATATTTTAATAGGATTGAACCATCTAATACTCGTATTGACTTTTCATAGCATTATTCATTTGTGAATAATAACCACAATAAGTAATGAAAGCAAAATATTATATTACATAGTAATATCAAGTCAAACTTACACTAGTTCTTCCCCATCCGCTAGCGGAGGTGGCGACTCCAGCGCCAGCCCAGTCATAGCTTAAAGTGACTAATCCGATCGAATTGCTAGGACCAATATTGGCGGTTGAGATTAAGATTCTAATATCATTTTTAATGGTACGTGAGTTCCAATTAGGGTGGAGAATGCCTCGGGTGAACACAATTTGAGTTCCACCTGAGCGGAAACTGTTGGTTCCTACAACACCTCGCAGAGATCTGTTTAAAAATTAAAATACGTTAGTATGCACCCTGCATAACTTAAGTGATATTTAGTACCTATGCGTAAGCTGTTTTATAAACGCGCTAAGGAAGCAGATTATTTGCGTTTTACTACTAAAAAGTGAGTGTATAAATAAGCCTTTGATTGCGTATTTTAATCAACTAAGACCTGTATCATTTTCATTACTTACGAAACTAAGCCACCGCCACTTTGCACAGGTGTGATGCAATGAGCAGCTGTCAGGACGTGTCTGGTTGAGACAAGGGATCCGCCACAAAGTAGACTCCTGGTTATTATGCCAGTAACCATAGCCACCATGTGGGGGACACTATCCGCGATCGACCCACCGACGATACGAGCTGACGCATCGGTGTGGTCGAAGAAAATGGACAAATCATCCTCAACTGGGAGCGCTAGAACAAGTGGATGGTAGTTGGTTTCATATTATAACTAGCGACTCACCCTCGCTCCGCTCGGGTTCGTCCCTACTTACGTTTTAACGTTTATATAGATTTCTCAGATATGAGATATTTTCCCGCGGTAAAAAGTATCCTATATGTTGACCCGGATAACCAACTATCATCATACCAAATTTCATCAAAATCTGTCCAGTGGTTTTCTCGTGATGCGGTAACAGACATACAGACAGACAGAAAGACAGACACAAAATTTTTAAAAACTATACATTCGGACTCTGTATCGATAATAATGTCTATTTCAATTAGATTTTCCAAAAAATATTTAATGTACAGATTCAACTTTGTTACAATTTTATTATATGTATAGATGAAATTGAAAAAAATATTGGAAATATTTTCAATATTCTATTGTAATATGCTTTGTATCTCAATGCTTGAACTGATTGATACTATTTACTTGCCCCAAAAAAATAAGAAAAAATTATATAAACGTCAAATATTATATGGAAAATAGTTCTAATGAAACTATTTTATCGAACTCTTTGTCGCTTTTATTTTGATTATTGTCTCTCAATATTTCGAATGTTTAACTGCGAGCCACCACGGGCGAGATGTAGATTTTTGATATTTCAAAAGTTATTATATATTTATAACAGACGGAATAAAACATTTGAAACGTCGGGAACCAAAAAACAAAATTATACAATATACATATAGAAAAATAATAGTTTTATAATATATTGAATATGAATATTGCAAATTAATATTGAAAGCTAAAGCCTAACTTTTTATTTTATTAATTTCTATAGATTTTTAAAAGCAATAGAAAATAAATATCTTAGAGGTATTTATCATGAATGCATAAAATTATTTTTTTAGAAGAGAGAATATCAATATAATAATAATTTACTATGAATATATTTCGATCAAAATGTTGAAGAAAAAATATCTAAGAAGTTATTTAGGAGTAACATATTTAATATCTAGGCATTAAATTAAATATTTCTCTAAATATTTAAGATATTAATAACTTTACTCACCATAGCTCCCGATGAAGAGCGTTAAAATCAATATCCCAGCTTTGAGCGACATTTTGGAGAGGTACTGTAATTTTGATGCGCTGTTTATTCGCTTTTATATGTAACAAGAAGTAAAAGATAGTAATTTTAATCATCATAATTATAATTATCAACCAATAGGATTAAAATTAACAAATACTTGTATCATAACGTTATTTAATTTTTGAGGGTTCTGTACCCGATTAGTCAGATTGGGATTCTTAGATAGATTGTATGACGTGACGAATGTCTTTGAAGGGTCTATTCTTTTTATTCACCATAAAACTAATATCCTAAGGCATTTATTGCCCAGTGGTAATTCGCTCGCTTGAGAATCAGAGTAAAGCGGATTCAAATCCAGAGTCTCGCACCTCAGATATTTTTATGTGCCAATCATTTCCAACATTAAGTCAAATAATACTATTTTTGAAATTGGTTCCGATGAAGGACTAAGAGATAAGATTATTTTAATAACATAATCCTTGATTATGTTAATAAAATAATCTTATTTTAATACACATAATCCTTGATTATGTTATTAAAATAATCTTATATATGGAGACTTGCTCCAAAATTTAGATAGAACAGATTAACCAGATTTTTTATAATACGCTCAGATTATAACATACTAGTTTTTGCCTGCGGCTTCGGCAAAAGCCTAAGGCAAAGCCTAACTTTTAATAAGTTCGAGCGTGAAAAAATAACCGACGGAAGAAAACAATTTGGTATGGACATTAATTGGGTATTTTATTACCCGCGACATATATATACGTTTGGGGTAAGAGGTGTTTGTGTGTCTGTAAGCATATTTCTCGGAAACGGCTTGGCCGATTTTGAGACGGTTTTTTCCTTTGTATCAGTCTCATTTTTGAGCATGTTATTAGATAATTTTTATAATGTTATCTATGATACCTCTCTTTCATACTTTTAAAAATTTAGGCATCTATATGGATACAGCATTGTTATAGTCTAATATAATAAAGACGCTTGCAAAAATTGACATATTTATTTCTAACTAGCACAGTAGTGCCGCGAGTACGCGGCTCCGTCCGCGTTCAGATGACCAAAAACCAAATTGTTTTTGGTTTTACATATTAGTATACTCATTACAGTTACATTACAGTTTTTGTATTTTTTCTCAGAAATGAGATATTTTTCCACAGTAAAAAGTATCCTATATGTTGACCCGTCTAATCAGCTATGACCATACTAAATTTCATCAAAATCCGTCCAGTAGTTTTTCTGTGATGCGGTAACAGACAGACAGACAAAAATTCTAAAAACTATAGATTCGGTCTCTGTATCGATAATAATGTCTATTTCAATAAGATTTTCCAAAAAAATATTTAATGTGCAGATTTGACTCAGTTAGAATTTTATTATATGTATAGACTAGCAGAACGTGCTAAAAATACAAAAAAACTCTAAAATGGTAGGTTTCATACAAACTTGTCTCGTATTTTAGCCCCGTATGGGATGAATTTCGAAAAATGCTTAAATACATATTTAATTAATTGTATTGAAGAGTATTAATACCAAGTTTCAAGTAATTCTGATCATAAATATTTTTTTGGATTGTATTATAACGTATTTTCCCGTGGGAAAGAGACAATCTCCCGCGGTAAAAAGTAGCCTATGTCACTCCCCAGCTATCCAACTATCTCCACATACAAAAATCACGGCAATCCGCCAAACCATTTCGACGTGAAAGAAAGACAAACAAACACACAAACAAACAAAGAAACACTTTCATATTTATAATATTAGTATGGATTGCGACCAAAACTGTAACACAATTCTTACAAATTTTCTATACTAGTGTCAGCGCAGTGATCAAATTCCGACCATTTTTAATATTGAAAATGGGCGCGGAGAGTTTCAGTTTACAAGTGTGCTGCATAGATGGAGTTATTGACATCATTATCTTTTTTTTCTACAATGGCTATGACATTTTCTTAATCGCCGTGTCTAGATTTTTCGTAAAAGAGCATAAACATATAGAATGGATTAAATATTTATTGACCAATCGTCAGCTAAAAATTGCGAAAAAGCGACAGAGACAAAATGAATGTGGGGCCAGAAGTTTTCTGTTTTAATTGAAATACGATTAATGGAGATACTTATAACCATTTTACATTGGAGTAAAAGACGGGTATTGGCCGCATGTTCGCTTTCTCTCTGTCAATTTCAAGTATTGCTCAGTCCACTATGTAAAAAACCTCTCTGTAAAAAGGTTACCCTTATGTGGACGTAATATTATGTATTACGTCGATCCATGATATTAAATCGATTTGACGAATATTGAATAATAGGTTCGTAACTTAATCTATACATATAATATAATTCTAAGTCAAACCTGTACATTAAATATTATTTACACAATCTTATTGAAATAGTAATTATTATCGATACAGAGGCCGAATCTATAGTTTTTAGAATTTTTATCTGTCTGTATGGGAAAGCATCACGAGAAAACCCCTGGACATATTTTGATGAAATTTGGTATGATGATAGCTGGTTGTTCGGGTCAATATATATGATACTTTTTACTGCGGGAAAATATCTCATCTCTGAGAAATCTATACTAAACTTTTAAAAGTGGCGAGGGTGAGTCGCTAGTCATTAATATTTTTAATGCTATAATATAACATTCAGATATATAATGAAAAATATCGTTATCAATATTTTTACTGATATAATATCGGAAAACGCCGAATTTCCTCCTTAAAATATTCCAAGCCGATTTTGCTGATAAAGTAATTAGATACTATTTTTAACACATGTTTTCTTGACTGATCCATTCTGTTATACATTGTAAAACAGGTAACTTATTTTTTTATTAGTTTATTAAAAAAAACTGAATTTAAAAAAAACACAAAAAAACGTTTTAACGTTTAGTATAGATTTCTCAGAGATGAGATATTTTCCCCAGCTATCGTCATAGTAAATTTTATCAAAATCCCTCCAGTGGTTTTTCCGTGATGCGGACACAGACAGACAAAATATCTAAAAACTATAGATTCGGCTTCTGTATCGGTAATAATGTCTATTTCAATAATATTTTCCAAAAAAGTATTAATGTACAGATTCGGCTTAGTTACAATTTTATTATAAGTATAGATATTACTTTATTACACTATGATAGCCTTAAGAAAAATTATAAATACGAAAGGGTGACTAATGATATTATTAGTGATTTGTGGTATTTTTCAGTACGAGATTTTATATATATATAAAATAGTATCAAAGCGAAATCTGAACATGAAATATTTTTTAAAAACAATGACGTTTATATGCTGTGAACTGAATATAGATCCCAAAACAATAGTTTAAAAAAATCTATTTATCTTTATGTTTGTTTGCATCTAGATATATTGACGTGAAATGCACACAGATGTGTGTAAAAATACTAAACGGATTTTTAGTAAATTTTGTGAAATGAAAACTTATTATGTAACAATTCAGTGCGATAAAATCTCTTATTTCCATGGGATACAAAATTTGGTTCGGGTGCAAAGCTTTGATCTACATAATATAACATATTTCTATACATATACATAATAAATTATATAATTTATTATATCCTCTCTTCTGAATTTTTACTGGCTAAGGCTTACTTAACAGTCTGAGGGTCGTGCATCATAGCACTAGTCTTTGAAATATTATGACAGAGATAGGTAGGCATTACTTTGTTCTTTCTTGGTCTTAGATTTTGTGACTTTGTCATCGGGTATATAATATTTATCATTATCATCTCCACTGGTTTGTAATTGTTATTTTGGGTAATAAATAATATAATTGTGCAAGATTTCTTCGATATTTATTGATATCCTTTCTTAAGATTTTTATAACACATCAACTTCTCGGGAGACAGATTACAGAGTACAGATAATATACAACGCACCAAGCGGCAAGGGATAGAAACTTTTTTTTTAAATAGCAAGCAAAGATAATAGATTATACATTCTAAAATTTATCATTTAACAGTAATCTATCATTACATACACGGTCATAAGATCTCACCTCAACTTCAACTGACTCGTTAAGTTATTGTAAATTTTCCTAATTTAAATGACCCATTCTTTGATGCCACAAGTGATCCAAGGATAATAGAGCAAAATTTTCACTATTTATCTTTATATATATAATTCTTCTGTGAGTGTGTATGTCACTGAACTTCTCTCAAACGACTGGACCGATTTTGATGAAAATTTTTGTGTGTGTTCAAGGGGATCTGGGAATGGTTTAGATTCACAATTTGAATAATAATTTTCATCAAAAAAATTATTAAAAAAAGTTTGAAATTTTCAAATTAAAGACGTGTAGACAGGACAACGTCTGTCGGGTCCGCTAGTTACATATAAATTACAAATAAAAAACAGCTTTTAAATATCTATTCGTAAAATGCAACATCAGATATATACATACATATACTTTTATCATTTAGTATATTATCAGAACTGATCAGGCATGCAAAATAATTTGTAATTTTAATGTGAATGGAAAGATTGGAATTAAAAAGTACAATATGTGAAATTAAATAAAAGCTTGTTATAATACAATTTTCAAACTTTTCTTTTCTTTCTAATGAATTCCGAAGAATATATTATGTAAATATACCTAATATAATAATAACAGTATTATATAAATTCACTCGACTTAATCGCTTTGATTAATCGTTATAATTATATATTTATCAAAAGTGAGTAATATGATAATCTACACAAATAAAGGAGTTAAATATCAACAATATTTCAAAGATTGGCAAAACGTCATTTAAAACTGGAGTATTAGTATTAATACTCTTCATTCGGAGCTAGTAATATAAACATAAATCTATGTAATTTCTTTATTTACAACCAATTCTTAGAGAAATCATGTCTTTAAATATTTTCTAAAAATAGTTATATAGTCATTCTTTGTGCCTTTTATTACTAAATATTTTTTTTTGGGAAAATTTGAAGAATTGCATAGATTTTGGCTTGAGTTGGTAATGGAATTGTACTTACAATCAGTTCTTATTAAGATACCTGA